ATCAGAAATAGTGTGGCCAGCAGGACTAGGGAAGGGATTGTCCCCCTGTACTCAGTACTGGTGAGGCTTCACTCCTCACTACACTCCTTGTGCCCCTCAGTACAAGACACTGAGGTGCTGGAGCGTGTCCAAAGAAGGGCAATGAAGCTGGTGAAGGGTCTGGAGCACAGGTCTTATGAGGAGTGGCTGAGAGAACTGGGGCTGTTTAGCCTGGAGAAAAGGAGGCTGAGGGGAGACCTTATTGCTCTCCACAACTACCTGAAAGGAGGTTGTGGTGAGGTGGGTGTTGGTCTCTTCTCCCAAGTAACAAGCAATAGGACAAGAGGAAATGGCCTCAAGTTGTGCCAGGGGAGGTTTAGGTTAGGAACAATTACTTCAACAAAAGGGTTATGAATCACTGGAACAGTGGTTGAGTCACCATCCCTGGAGGTATTTAAGTAAGACAGGTAGATGTGGCACTTAGGGGCATGGTTTAGTGGTGGACTTGGCCGTGTTAGGTTAAGGGTTAGACTCGATGATCTTAAAGGTCTTTTCCAACCTAAGTGATTCTGTGATTTGTCAGATGCTGCTCCATAGAAGAGGAACAGTTCCCATTTATAGCTCTGTACTGAGGGACCAGAGTTGTACAGTAAGGGAGAAGAATTCATGTAGGATTTCAGGAACAAGTTTCACAATTCAGCAGCATCCCGTAAATGCCCTGCCTTTGTCGTGCCACTGCTCCTGAGTAATCCTGTTGAGTTCAGGTCTGTTCAAGTCAGTGGTAAACAGGCTCCAAGCCATAGCTTGTTAGCTGTAAGTACAACATGTTTCTCATGATGAGACCGTGGATCTTGTGACTGGCTAAATACTGTGCATGTGCTGATAAATTGCTGTCCTGTGTTACAAAATACTGGGTATCAGTTGAGGTAGAGTAGTTCTGTGCATGTCTATAGATATTCTGATGAGATAGTCATTAGTCTGAATGCGATCTGTGAGAATGAGAAGTAGTATAAGCTAATAATTCTATTTTTTTCCCAGCATTTTTTAAAAGCTTCATGTTCCTATCACATAATTATGAGAAAATACATGATGTGAGTTAAATGCAGTTTTGAGAACTACCAGGAAAGCTAGCAATGTAATCGTTCTTTTGTTCTTTTTTGTTGTTCTTTTTTTGTTTTAATCCTTCTTCCTCACAAGATGAAGTTATAACTTCACATGGTGCAATTGAACCAGATAAGGACAATGTCCGCCTAGAGCCATATTCTTTGCCACAAGGTTTTATGTGGGACACATTGGATCTTAGCAATGCTGAAGTTGTAAGTAAAACAATTTTTATATGTGTCTAAAATCATTGAAATTAATTCTGATTGATGTGTGTGGATAAATCTTTGGATTTTTTTGTGTGTGTTTTCAGTTGAAGGAGTTATACACATTGTTAAATGAGAATTACGTAGAAGATGATGATAATATGTTTAGGTTTGATTATTCACCTGAATTTCTTCTGTGGTGAGTAGCAAGTTCCACATTCTGCTCTGGCTGGAGTGCAAAGAAGGCTGTTTTTATTACATCTTCTTAGGCAGTAATTTGTAATTATTTCTGTCATCAATTCTAGGGCGTTACGTCCTCCGGGCTGGTTACCCCAATGGCACTGTGGGGTTAGAGTGTCTTCAAACAAAAAACTGGTAGGATTCATAAGTGCCATCCCTGCAAATATTCGTATTTATGACAGGTAAAATGCACCATTAATTTTGTGTTTGTAAAAGAATAACACCATGAAACAAATCTTAAACTGGTATCCATTACCATAGAGAACTTAAAAAGGGAGAAGGCGGCTCACTGACCATAGTCAGAAGAATCCTGTGTATGTAGCAGAAACTTTTTTGTTTACTGTTTGTTTGGGTTTTTTTATTTTCCCCCAAAAAGCTTGTGAGCTCCTTACAATGAAGACCAGTAATAGATATTTAAGGAATTGTCTTATTGATAGATGATACAGATAATGACACAGAATTTTCTGACCCTACGGGAAAGTATTTAAAGGCTAGTCGGTCAGCTGGACTTCCTTGGCCAGTTCTTCAGACACTGACAATCATAAAGTATTACGATACCACATAGCATGTGCTTGGATGCCATTCTGCATCTTAAAGTAAGGCAATTGGTTAAGTCTCGATAGAGCTCTGAAAAAGGAGTGTTGCAAACACCTTAGACATAGCTTGCATATTGCATAATTTGCCATTGCAGTCACAATAATCGTAGATTAGTATTTGTTGCAGATGTACTTTGTCACATGCCAATTTATTTTTACCTCAAATTCTTCTGTCACAACACAGAAAACTACAATTACACAAATGAAAATATGCAACGTGCAACTTTCTTTAACTTTTCCACTATTTAATGTCCTTTTAGTGTGAAGAAAATGGTAGAAATCAATTTTCTGTGTGTCCATAAGAAACTGAGATCTAAACGGGTAGCACCTGTACTGATTCGGGAAATCACCAGAAGAGTAAACCTAGAAGGAATTTTTCAGGCTGTTTACACTGCTGGAGTGGTACTCCCCAAACCTGTGGCCACTTGCAGGTAACCTAGGTGATGTTCATAATAATATCGGTTCCTATTGCACTCATTTTAAAGAACATTTTATGTAATTATCTAGAAACAATAAAACCATAAAATTCAAAGAGTTTTATGTTGTGGCCTTGGCTAACCTGAAGGCCTGAGTGTTTGTCAGGGTGGTTTTTTGGTTTCTTCTTTTTTTTTTTTTTTTTTCATTCCCTCTCAGTCCATTGAGTAAAACAACTCAGACTAAAATCTAATTTGGGGTTTGTTTATCGTACCTTAAATAGACTAATAGATGTTTCTGTTGACCTTCTGGTAGAAGCCATGCTAGCAATGACAACGTTGTATAGCTGTGTTTTTTCAAGTGGCCCGTTTCCCTGCTGGATACTTCCCTGTTGACCTGATTGCTTGCCAAAGATGGCAGAGCATTTCTGGGAATTGTGTGATTTGCTTTTTTTGAAATACTTTCATCTTTCCTGGAGAAAGGAGGGCTTGATTGGCCTTTGATAAAGATGGGAAAACTGTCACATGAGAAGAGTTGTATGTAATCAAGTATAATTTTGTTTGCTTGAAATTGATTTTATTTCTACTGGGAAAAGTTCAATTCCAGCAGTATTATTTCAGCTATCTTTCTGGAGGACAGGGGTATTTTTTGATTTGAAATTGTGTTTGTACCTGTCAAACCGCAGATGCTGTAAGTTTCTGTAAGGGAGGATGGGAAAAAAAAGCTGCACTGTGTTAGAATAACCAGGGATGTTCTGTGGCGCAGTGATCTCCTAGGAAGAGGAAATCTCCTTCAACAAACTACTCACACATGAGCAGAGGGTCCCGTCTGTACAAGAAAATAAATGTTACCATATAAGTATGGTGAGATTGTCAGGGCTATAGCAAGTACTAAAATGTTTAGCCCTGTGATTACTCATTCTGTAATAAAAAGCATTTGCTTAGATTCAAAATATGGTGATAGCAGGCCTGTTTGAAAGCTATCGTTTGGATATAGCTTTTCCTTATCTTTTGTTGCTCAAGCTTCTTACATAGTACAGGCTAGCTTAGAAACAAATTTGGAGAGAAGGAGCAATGCGAGCAAACAGGGAAATGGATGCAAGTAAAGCTGACACTTAAAATACTACTTAATCTCATTATTAATTTTATTCCCAGATATTGGCATCGATCACTGAATCCCAGAAAATTGGTGGAAGTGAAATTTTCACATTTGAGTAGAAACATGACTCTACAAAGAACAATGAAGCTCTACAGACTTCCTGATGTAAGCAGTATGACTTCTAGAGAATCCCCACAGTTTTTGTGAGGCCCAAAATAACCTTCCATCTGTCTCTGACAGCACAGGCTTTTCTGTGGAAAGGCAGTGTGTGCAGGACATGAAGAAAAAAAAAGATTTCTCTGGCTGATGAAAAAGACCGTAGGGTCTATACTAAACAGAAGAGACTGTTGCTGGAAATGTAAATCTGTATATGGAGTAAATATAAATTTTGACCTAAAAGCCTTAAACAAAGAAAAAACCAGAAACCTTGACTTCATAAACATATGGGATTGAGTTGAAGATGCATAAGATTATTCTTGGTATGATTAATCTGATAAAAGATTACTGGAACAGAAAATTAACAGTTTATGTCTTAAAGTTTGCAGAGAAGTCCATTGGAAAGTTGGCTGAGTACAGTGCGATTGTTGATTCCACTCTAATTCACAGCTTTTTCTGTTCTGTCAGAAAATGTTCTGCAATAAGCAGGCTCAGCCAAAGCCACCTCAGTATGTTGTGTACTGTTCATTTGCGTGGTCTAGTGGGGGAAAAAAAAAAGAAGTGTTCTGGCATAGCTAGGTTAAAAATACTTTTTTCTCATGTTTGCAGCTAATAGTTAGGCTGGCAAAAAGCCTTGGGATGCATTTCCATGGCAGGGCAAGTCACTATAAGTAGTCTGAGATATATGATTTAAAAAATCTCATTGCTATAATTAATAGCCTATAGAAGCAAGTCTAAGCTTTATGATTGAAAACAATTTCTTTGCTTGTAAAAGGTACCTTTCTATTTGGAGGGATTGCAGAATATCCTTTACCTGTGCCATATCAGTAAACCTTTTTTAATTTAAACAAAGACTCTCTTTTGGGTAAAAAAAAAAAAACCAAACCCACAACTTTTTTCCTTACTCATAGTACTTTGTAATGATTTGTCTGACTTTGGAGAATTGTTTCTGTTGGTTATATTTAGCTTGATGCTGCAGGTTCTCTTACTACTTAAATATTTGAGTAATACACTAAGCACTCCTTGGTGTAAAGCATGTGCCGTGGCTTGATCTGAGCTCCTGCTGCTGTCAGAGAGGCTCGTTTCCTGTGCTGCCTGTATGCTACCCATGCCTGCACATGCAGGTTCTCCCTTGCGTGCAGGACAGCAGATTTTAGAGCTTAAGAATTAATAACCAAATTAATTAGGTTTTAATCTTGGAGAGCTAAATATAGCTTACATCGAATCTTGAAGACATTTTTAATAGTCTAAAAAAGTGCAGTAGACAATTTCAAATACCGGTTTTGGTGGCAATTCTAGTATTCTCATGGAAACAACACAGGGAAAGAATAATTTAAATAATAAGGATCTTACAGTACAAAACATACAACTACAGAGAATCATTAAAAACAACAGCAGTTGTACACTGATCATCTTCCTTTATCCTAAAACCCAGATTTCAACAGAAAAATAAATTACAGAAAACAAAGAATATATCATAATCTCATTCATAAAATATAGGTAAGACAAACATATTGTACAGAGATGTGCAAATAGAAAACAGGTGCTTTGAAAATCAACTTTTAAAACTAAGTGATGTAGGAGCCCATATGCCTCAGCTGCTTGTTTATTTTTAGATTAGACTTGGGAGCTTCTCCCATAGAAAATAAAGATTTAATCCTGATGCTAGTATTTTCTCTTTAGGTCTTGTGCTTTAGGGATTTTTGGAGTTTTTTCCTAAGAAAGAGTTTAAGTGTTGGCGAGGATCTTTATCCTCAGTTTCAGGCTGTTATCATAAACAGTAGTGTCACACAAATTTGTTCATTCAGGCCACACTGTCTTGTCCTTCAGCACCAATCACTGTTTCTTGCATTTTAACCTCTTTTCTTAGTGTCCTTGGAATATCATTGCCACTGGGAGCTCATCTCTTTAAGAGGAGTTAATCGTTCCTAATCACTTGAACAGTCTGAATTAAAAAGGTTTTCAGAAATAATAAATACTGTAATTAATAAATACCACCCTCACTGAAGGCTGTGTTCGTGCATGTAGCTATAGATATAAAAGATAAAGTTTTGTTTCTAAGCATTTAATCTCTTGAGCAAGGAGTTTTCTGAAGGAGGTAAATTTTGGCTGTGTTTAGAATAAGGACAGGAGCATGTTTGTCTCTGTCTTTTCCTGACTGATGGAGATCCTGAGCCAGGATACTCATATGCCCAGTGCAGCTTGATATGTGGAGCAGAGAAACAAATTTGAACCCAGATCTGTATGCTTTCCCTGACTTCTGGGGCTGCAAATAGTCATTTACTGGTGGCCATTCTGAGCATTGCTGGGGGATAAAGATATTCCAGCCCAGCTGCTTTTCCTCCCATCCTGCTCCAGTGTTCGGCTTTAGAAGAGGGATGAAGCCAAAATTAACCTTTCATGTTGTAGTTCATAAGTAGGTTATGAATGAAATACAGCATAGGAAGCATCATGCTGATGAGTCAGGTGAATACCCTTATAGATTCAGGTCATTTAAAAATCTAGATGATGTGCTGTTGTGGAGGTAAACCATAGTCCCAGGATGCTCAGGAAAGCAGGAAGACTAAAATGTAATACAGAGGCCAGAGCTGTGGCAAAATGTGCCTTGATTTTTCATCTGGCTGCTGACTCCCAGAGTATGTGAATAAATACCTCCCCCTTTTGAGCAGAGCATAATCAGCTACACTAATTTCGGGCTTCCAGTAATCAAGTTTCTACCTGGCTGCTTTTGCAATTGACTTTGCTATGATTAATGTGATACGTGCCCAAGTCTGTAGCTCAGGCAGATGAAGCAGGATAAATGAGCTCTGAAGAGAACAAGCCTTATCCTCCGTAAAAGGAAATATTCAGGAAAGCTAACCAAAGCTGGGGGGAAATCTTTAATCACTTTTTTCTTGTTTAAACATTAATTGCATACTACTGGAAAGCAATTTTTTTCCTCTTCTGGTTTTCAAAGTCAAATAAATAACTTTATTTGTTAAAATACTGTGGGTTTTTAATTTCAGGCAGCTATAAGTTATGAGAAGCTTGCTTGTTAACAGAACAGCAGTTGTGCCTGTACAGAAAGTTGAGTTAGCAAGGGAGTTTGCAAGTGTTAAGAATAGGTGGATTTATTTTGTTAACTGATTTCTAATTAAACTTTATCAGCTGACTTTTGGTTTATAGCTTGACTGTAATTTTCAGAAGTTTGAATCGCAAGTGTTCTTGTCTTCAGATTAACTCCTGATAGGCAAGTTGCTTTATGTTTTGTTTCTGTGTCTGGGCCCTAGGTAGTTTAGAAGAAGAAAAGAAATAAAGACTGACCTAATAAAATAAAAATAATACAAAATGCGTGAAGTCTAGGCTGTTAGCAATGGTATCTCTTTCTCTGGAGAAATGAAGTTGTTTCAGTAATGAAACACAAAGATTGAAGTGCCCCAGACTGTCTCAATAATTAGGAGAGAGGGAATTCTGATTGAAAGCTGTTTGTAAAATAGCATAATGAATTAGGTGGCTGGGGTAAAGTAGGCTAATAATGCATGCATTATAGCACGTGGAATGACTCCGCAACCTACTTTCAGCCTCTGCTGTGTATGCAGTTTTCCTTTCAAGATTTATTTTTCTTTTGTTACAATAAGGCCACAAAGACTTCAGGTTTGAGACCAATGGAACAAAAAGATACTAAAGCAGTACAAGAATTAATCAACACTTACTTGAAACAGTTTAATCTTGCTCCTGTGATGGATGAAGAAGAGGTAGCCCACTGGTTCCTGCCTCGGGATCATATTATTGACACTTACGTAGTAGAGGTAAAACATGCCCTAACTACTTCATGAATGTTTATGTGAATGCCACTTACAAAAGTTCATATCAGCATAAAGTTTTTAAAATGTGGACAGTATGAAAAATGTGTTATAGGTAGAATTTGATACCATGATTCCAAGCTTTGTTCTTTGTATTGCATTCTGTTAATAAGAAAATGTTTGGTTGTGATAAACTGCAGTGCTCTTATAACAGGATATTTTAAAGAAGAATTTTGAAATCTGAAAATACCACTATCTTGAAAATATTACAGCAAAGAACCTTACATATTTTAAAAACAACCCTTGCACCTGCATTCTTCCTTTTTTTTTTTGTTCCATAGAGATACAACATGATAATAAGCAGTGGTCTTCAAATCTCCTTTTCTAGAAAAAAGGAAAAATTGTATAATGACTGAGATAAGGATTTGGTTTGAATTCAGTATCATTCTCTCGGGTGTCTAAGTTTCTGCCATACAGCAGTTCAAAATTCTTCATTTTTAAAACCAATTTTAGCGGTAGCTGCTGGGGGAATTACATTTTTTGATGGTTTGCTTCAGTAAAATATATTTTTTTCTAGTAAAATTGTGTGTGTATATATGTGTATGAATTTTTGTGTGTGTGGGGGTGTGTGTATATATATATACACACACACACACATATATGCATGAGTATATGTAAAATAGAGAAGTAAAAGTTAACATCCCTTGGTGCTGTCGTGAGTTGCTGTCAGCTAGGAGTTTAATTATCTTGAAAATTATAATCTTTGCCCACTAACAAGGTAGAGAGCATCATCTGTTCCTACCACTTACTCTTCCCTTCCCGTCCTACCACCTGCACCCTTCATCCAACCTGTCGTCCCAACGCTTCTCACAAAATAAGGAATAGATTAACATTTGGATCGAAATCTCCAAGGCATAGTTGGAATAGCTGCGATAAATCTAGTGGAGAAAGATACACTCTTCCTTTTGAGTCCATGCTAAATCAGTTATAGACATCGTATTTAGATAGTGTATCACTTTGTTTAAAGTGATAAGGTTATTTGAAAATGATCAGCACTAACATCCTTAAACCTACCAGCTCCTCATGGAAGCTGCAGGTTGTGAGGCTCAGTGTTCCCACATTGCAACCTGAATTTCTGCAGGAGTCTCAGCTAAATTTAGAAACTTATTGCTGCTGGAGATGAGAGGTCCTGCTCATGTTGTCATTGTCCAAGCTTAGCTTTCTACTTACTTTGTGGTGGGTCTAATTTAATTTATTGTCCATCCTTCTTTTTCCACCCCCTCTTCTCCCCTCCCCGAGTTGTTCTTTGGCTTGTTGGCAAGTTGAAGCCTACAGAAGAGTCCACAAGCACCAGGATGAGCATGAGTGTGCCCCTGATGGTGACATTCTAACTGAACAGCACAGTCTTCACTTGCTTGTTTTACACTCTCTTGAACTTGTTTTTCACTATGCAAAACATAGTAGGTTTGTTAGTGTTTAAAAACTTACGGTGTGCAAAACTGTGCTGCATTTATTACTTTCTGTAGAACTGCCACGTTAGCCTAAACAACAACTGAGTGGTTACTTCTTTATTGACTTTTTTTTTCTTTTGTAGGGCTCAAATGGTATTTTAACAGACTTCCTGAGTTTCTACACATTACCTTCAACAGTGATGCACCATCCTGTTCATAAAAGCCTCAAAGCTGCCTATTCCTTCTACAATATTCATACAGAGACTCCCCTCTTGGATTTAATGAATGATGCACTCATTATAGCTAAATTGGTAAGTTGTGGGGTGGGGTTTTTTTCCTTCTTCTTTCACAAAAGTATTCTTAGGTGCGGTGGCAAGATAATAACTAGCAGCAATTTATCCATGCCATGGCATTGTTTTCTTTTACTGTCTACAGCACAGAGTGCAGTTGATGAGACACATACTATATATATATTAAAATGTAAAACACTATGCTTGTTTTTCCTTTTTACTTTGAGTGATGCTAGAGAGTGACAAGTGCATGAAGATCAAGTGTTTGCAATAGCTTGAACTGTGTAAACATCCAAGAGCACACTGATGACCATATTCAGAAGAATGGAAAATATCACTAAAATAGTTTCCTTTGGAGATGAGTTAATAAGTTCTGTTAAATACTTTTTTTTTTGCTTGTTTAATTTTTATTTCTACAAAATGAAAAAGTTTATTTATGCAAGTTTTATCATTTTATCTTGTTACTAATTGCTGTCTGTAAAGCTCTGTACGTGCTGTCATGTTGTAGTTTCTAAGCACACCTTCATGCATGGAATTACATTGATAGATTATTTAGTTGAATGGAAGGGAAGAGACTACAAATGATGTTTTTAACATAAGAATTGTAAGAGTTTAGTGCTCACACCTTCGTGCATGGAATTACATTGATAGATTTAGTTGAATGGAAGGGAAGAGACTACAAATGATGTTTTTAACATAAGAATTGTAAGAGTTTAGTGCTGTCTGATGAAAAACTAACACTCAGCCCTTAATCGTCAGGGTTTCATGGGAGTGCAGTTGCAAGCACCACTGGCAACGTAGTCTGTGGCACAGAGCTGTGCAGGTGATGCACATCCCAGCACTCTGAACGAATTCTCAGAGACCCGTTTAGCCCTGGCAATTCACAGCACTGCACAGGCTGATGCCATCCATTCTAGCAACCATGCCCAACACACTGCAGATCATGGGCATGTTTTCTGCTCCTCATGCTTGAAGCTTGCCCCTCCTGGCTGAAGTGTTGCTGCCGCATTGCTTGTGGTATTTATTACACCTGCCAGATGAATGCTCAGTGCAAGGAAATGTTAGCTGTGCTCCAGCTGACCATGTTCAGAGCTGTCTGCCCTGCACGTGGCACGGGGATTTCTGTGTTGATCCTGTATGAAGCCAGTGATGGTCTGCAAAGGCTCTGTCTGTTTAGACTCCTGGATAGTCATGGGGAATATAGAACCCTATTATTCAGGCTCTGGAATAATACTAACGGAAGTTCAGAGACAGCCTTTGAAAGGTATAAAGATATATGATGATACAGGAAGGTGGCTAGTATAATTTTCATAAGTGGATAAAAATACTAGTACTATTACTCTTAAAAGTCAAAGTGGAAAAAGGAATAAACTATTACTCTTAAAAGTCAAAGTGGAAAAAGGAATAAACGTTGGTCTCCATTTGAAGTGTGGCATAGGGAGCCGAGTGGCTGGCCATTCACCAGGCCATGGATGGAAAGGGTAAGGAAGCAGTTATGTGGTCTAACCACAAGGCTTTGCACCTTCCCCTGTCTACATTTCTCTCTGAATGTGACTGCGATTCTTTTCTTTTAAATGGATCATATAGTTAGAACACTGGAATTCAGACACTTTGGGATTTCCAAAGTACCTGCTGGGCCTGTCTGCATCATTAGATGCCTGATTACATTTGCAGATCTGGCACTTGGACTTCTAGATGAGGACAGGTGAGGCAAGGGAAGAGAAGTAATAAACGTACTCCTATTCACAGCTTTTTGTTTACAAACGTACTGGGTCTGGCTGGAATGGAGTTAACTTTATTCCTAGCAGCCTGTATGGTGCTGCGCTTTGTAACTGAAACAGGGCTGACAACACACCGGTGTTTTGGCTGTTGCTGAACAGTGCTTGCACAGTCTCAAGGCTTCCTCTTTTTCACCCCCAGTGAGTAGGCTGAGAGTGGGCAAGGAGTTGGGAGGGGACACAGCCAGGACAGCTGACCCTAACTGACCAAAGAGATATTCCATACCTTATGGTGGTGTGCTCTTCAATAAAGGCCAAAGGAAAGAAGGAGGAAGGGGGGATGTTCCTGGTTATGGCAATTATCTTCCCAAACCACCATTATGCATGCTGAGACTTTGCTTTCCAGGAAGTGGCTTGACATCTGCCTGCCAATGGGAATTAGTGAATTAATTCCTCTTTTTGCTTTGCTTGTGCGTGCAGCTTTTGCTTTAAATTGTCATTATTTTGATTCAAAAGTCGTCCTGCCTTCCTTCTATTTTCTCCCCATCCCATGGAACAGGAGCGAGCGACAGGCTGGATCGGTGTTTGGCTCCTGGCTAGGGACAACCCACCACAGTCCTTTCTGTACTTTTACTCCCAAAGAATGCATTTTGGAGGTACAAATTCAACTCAGCAAATTATTTTCAGGGTTTGCATGTCAGTTTAATGTTGATTTTTATCTTCATATTACACCATATAAAATTAGCTTAGAACTAAGTCTAGTAAAATCTTGGCAATTATAGGACAAAATGCCTGACCTCCAAAGCAGAAGCAAAATTTGGAGTTATGTACTAAGGTTCCATGTACTCTACATGGAGAGTGGGTTTTGCAGCAGAATAATCCCTCCAAAACCGTGTGTATTTTATTGTTGAAGCTGACACTAAGTTTCTAGATCTAGAATAGGAGAGAGCTTATAAACAGGAAAGAGTTTCACTTCTGAGTCTGCTTTAATGGTCTGACAGAGCTGTGGAACAAGTATCTTTGAACAGGAACTTTTTTATATCTTTCAGAAGATATTAACCTGAACCTAATCTGCTGATGCTGAATTAAAATTACATCTGTAGCCTTTATAATTTATTTGAATTTTGAGTGCTTAATTGCAGAGCTTCATTAGTGTGTCTGTATTCTCCCTTGCTTCCTTCCCGCCTTCTGAGATTTCTGTTACTATCTATTACGAACTTGGAATATTTCAAAATTTACTACTTTAGATGCCGAGCGTCCAGTCCTTGCCACCTTATTTGTCTTGTTTCTGTGTGTGTTTCACAGCTCATTTAACTTAGCATAGCTTCATCTGCACACAGAATGATCTTTGTGTAAGGTAGTGGGGAACCTTACTAAACTCACTGTCTGTGCTTTGTGACTTTCTCTTAAATAGTCTTAAACTGATGGAGAGCTTAAAATGCTCTTTTTCTTCAACCTCCTTTTTTTTGTAATATGAGGTCCTTAACTTAAAAGGAAAAAAAATCTAGTTTTTATAGTAAGTGAAGAATGTTCCTTATCATCTTCTTGTGCTTAAGTAACTGAGCATTATTGTTTTGTAACTTACTATTATCTGAGAGTATAGAAAGTCCTGCTGCCACACTGCCTTTGTGCTGCTAAGGCTCTGATCTTAGATCAGACTCCCTTGTGCTTAATTGCAAATAAATGGACTTTTACATCCAGACCCCCAAGAAAATTCAGCTATTCATACATGATGATTGTCACTGATGGCTTAACTGGCCTTGCTTTTATGTTGTTTGTAAGAGTTCGCTGTGACTTGGGATTTGAGTATGTTTGTGTTGCCACACAAAACCCTGAGACTAATTTGGCGACGTGGCTGTTCTGAGAGCAAAATGGCTGAGTGGTGAATTTGGGAGGTTGATGAGGAGTTGGTAGGGGGTACATGAGCAGGGGAGGAAGAGTAGCATGTGAAGGATCAGAGTTCTAAAGACAATGGCATTTCAGAAAAGGACTGAATCACAAAATGTAGTGTTTGTCATTAACAGAATGATAAATGGCTGAAAAACACCATGACCTGTATTTATGCAGCTTTAGCTGGAATAGGCTATGTGTGTCAAAACACTGTGGCTGTAAAAAATGCATATCTATAACAATAAAATAATGGATAATGCTTTAGGGACTCTTCAGACCTTTACCCCTGAAAATGGCTTTAAAATTCCTACCCTTTTGGAGATAATCTTCAAGCACGGTTGTGCCTTATACTTCTCTTCTTATTGGGAAAATTTCTTTGTGAGTGTACCTAATTAAAAGGCAAGATTTATTCCCTTGTCTTTTTTTCCACTTAATTAGCATAGTCTCTTGGATATTGTATGCCACTGTGTAAAGTATAATTTGTGCATAATTTGAAACTTTAAAAAGTAAAATCTAAAAAATGTTTTGCTATTGCCAGAAAGGATTTGATGTGTTCAATGCACTAGACTTAATGGAAAACAAAACATTCCTGGAAAAACTCAAGTTTGGGATTGGAGATGGAAATTTGCAGTATTATTTGTACAACTGGAGGTGTCCTGGCATGGAATCCGAAAAGGTAAGGGAGAAAAAAAGAGCTTCTGAATTCTGTTGGGTATAATGGTACATTAATTTACACTGGCCAAAATGGGCAGAAGTTTTAAAATAACTTTTTTAATTGGTCATATTTAAGATCCATAATTGAGGTGCAGAAAACTAATGATGTTTAGATTTATTGCCATACTTGAACTAAAATACTATATTTTTCTTCTTCCTTTAGGTTGGTCTTGTATTACAATGAGGACACTTATGTTTCTAGAACTCTGAGGTCATCGTTTGAGTTAATTTGATCTCCATAACTCTTGGAACAGTATTGTTCAAGAGGAGTAAAAGCACAACGACAGTGATACTGAAATAGTCCATTAAACCTGAACAATGAAGACATCCATATGTGACCAAATTTATGCATTTTTCAGATAGATCAGAAGGTCCATGAAACTCTTTTATTGTCCATGAAAAGAATAAAAGCACATTCATTTAATTTTCAAAGCTTAGCTTGCACCTTGATGAGAAGAAGGTATTTTTTTTCCACTCTGTAGAAAAGACTGTTTTGTACAAACTGAACTTCAGTGGTGGATTAGGGTACAAAAATATTTGCTATTATGTGGATGAACTGCTGCATTTCTATTTATTAAGTGGTGGTGTATGTTCGTCAGTGTAACAGAATGAAGGATACAAACTTGAGTATCTTTGCTTATTTACTTCACATGGATATCATCATTTGGGGGAAAATCATGACGTACGATACGTTTGTAGCTCTATGAAAGTCCTGGATGTTTTTGTAACTGGAGCAGTATGACAATGTACTGGTTTAACTAGTGCATTTGTTTCTCCATAAGCAACGCTGCCAAATCAATAAAAATACAGATTTGTACTTTGATCTTCAATAGATCAGTGGATTGATTTAACAGTATCGCACTGTTCAGTGCAGGTGTTATCTATGTTGCCAGAATGATAATACATTACTGTACTTAATTTACAGTTGTGGCACAAAACCTTAGTTTTTCCTCAGTAGAATAACATCAGCCTGTGTGTAAAACTAAGAATTTTAGTAGTGCTATCAGGATATTTATAGTTTGAATGTTTTCGATGCTTCTGCGAAATTGCACATATTCCTTTGTCTACTTTGATTTCCTATGAAGTCTGTAATTCTAATGAAAAGTATCTTGTGTAAATACGTATTCATAAATTGTTCCTGGTAGTGTTTTTATCCTGACTTTGGAACAAGAAGTTTTGCTATATATGTGGCTGGTAAGCAAAAGAGAAATGCTTTGCCTTTAGTCCTTGGAAGTCTCTGTACTGCGCTTCCTGAAATGTAGGAGGGCTGATCTCTGTTGTTGGGGGGAGCTGTTTTAATTCCCTCATGAATGCTCGGCACCCAGAGTGGCTTCTGAAGCACTTTATATGGGTTCCAGCGTAGTGTCGTAGCTAGATATGATAGCAGTTCTTTGAGCTCACGGATGCTGCAGTAACGTGAGCACCAAGAAAATCTGCAGTAAGAAACTGTTCTAGCTGAAAGTGCCAAATTGTGGTAGTGAAGCCTCTGTGCTGTGAGCATCTTCTGAATGTGACTTGAATATCTCATGAAATGCAAATGTCTAAACTTTCCTTTTAAACATGCCTGTAATTCTGACAGCAGATTTTGCTGAAAGTTGAATTCTGTACCTGAAAACATCAGTTTGGATGAAGATAAATTTGTCTGTTCTTCATAACTGCTAGCTCTACCCACCTCCTTCCAGCAGTGGGGTTTTTCTTTCTTCCTGCTCCTTTTCCAGTGTGTGAATGGTTTGTGGTTTGGTTTCGTACTGGATTGTGGTGAGAGGATTCCGCCCTAGAGACAGTGTTAAATACTTTCTCTTACTGCATTCTAGCTCTGTGATTAAAGCATTCAACCTCCTTCAAACAAAGGAAGGGATTGAATGTGGTTTGTCTGACCCCTGAGTGTGCACCAGCTTGGAACCTCATGATTTGAAAAAGGCTTCAAAGGAGATCTTTCGGACACCTAATAGTGCAGTTGGGCTTTACCACTTTGACCACTCTGATACTTGCCTGTCTGCTAGTAGCAATCACAATAGATGGTGCAGAGGGAGCTCGGACTCCCTGTGTGAGGCCTGAGCAGAATTAAGTGCCTGAAAATGTAATTGAGGGTAGTGATATCTGAGGTAACAAGAAGGATTTAATCTCAGCTCCATCGAAGACTTAAGTTCTTAACTCCCAAAAGGCAGGAAGGTGCCTTCCTGGATGGGCATTCGCCTTCGAACCCGCTGGGATGAGGATGAGGTTCACCAAGGGGCTGAGTGTGTTCTGCTTCTGCTCTAAAGGCAGAGCGTGGGCAATCCTTGCTCAGCTGTTGCCTACTGTGAGGTGGGACAGCAGGGCATAGCGCTGTCCTCATGGCTAACGTACTGCCTTGCTAAGAGATGATCACAGCCCAGCTCTCCCTAATCTGGATGGGTGGTCTTGAACGCCAAGTGAAAGAGATGCTCATGTTCTCTGCCTTCCCTCCCCTCAAAAACATGCAAGTGGAAGAAATGGTACGCAGACATTTTCTTTTCTCCTCTCTTCTCTGAAATTGGAAGGCCAATCCTCCCCAGTACTTTTGTTTAGAAATGTGTTGAAGCCACGACAGGACAAAATATGTCCAGGTAGAAGACAGACTTGAACCTGGGTTTCCTGCAGCCTGGCTTTCTGCCCTAATCCTGGGGTCATTGCATGTGAAGGAAGGAGTGCGGCCACTCTTGTGCTGTCTTCCGGGATAATGGTGCCATTCGTTTCTGAGGGGTAAACTTCTCTGTCTCATCTTCTGGCTCACACTGCATGTTAACTGAGGGGGAGGAGGGCAGAGTCGTGCTACTGTAGAAGCTGTGCAGCGCTGTAGCTGAGAGAGAAAACTTCCCTGGCCCGGGAGCATGAGGGAAGCCGGCATCTGGGCCTGAGTGTAGGGGCAGCTCCTGGAGAGGTCTGTTCATGAACCTGTGTGTTACCTACAGCTGTATAATCCAACATGGTCTCTTCTGTCCCTGTGGAATGCTCACACCTTTTGGCTAGCCATGTTCTTCGCTGAAGTATCACAGCATCAAGAGGACATGAATCTTGAAGGTGTCCCAGCCTGCACCCACGCCACAGGACAGATACTCGGGAGGTGGAAATCGTGGCAGCTCACTCTCGCTCCCTAAGCAGGTACTTAACAAAAGGTTATTACCCATGTGGTGCCACTGTCAGCAGCTCAGGAGAGGCTCTTTGGTTTCCGAAGTTGAACCTGTCCATGCATTAGGCTTGCTCTGAACAGCTACCAGGTGAGATTCCTCAGAGCCTAATAGATGGTTTCCCAAAGGCTGGCAAACTTAAACCTCACTGCACCATCCTTCCCACCAGGCTTTTGAAACATCTGTAAGTTCTTTCCTGGATTAACTTCCTATCTGTGGAGGAGGACACAAATCCCTGAAGAGAGCTATAGACCTGGGCAGGCAGCAAAGTGCTTGAAAGATGATTGCTGCGCTTATGTTCTTTACCAAAGCTTATCCTCATGCTCTGTTTAAAGGCTGAGATTTAAATGCTACAGTTAGCCAGCATGGGAATGAAATACACTCGTGCTAGCATGCCTTCCAAGTTTTAGGCATCCAAAAAGCCAGAACAAAGGACATGTATGAAGGACTATGAAGCAAGGCAAAAAAAACCCTCATGTCTTCTTGCCACCCTCAGGCAGGGAAGGCAAAAATCTGGGCATGAAATGTCTTAGTTCTGTTTAAACTTCAGGGAGCATGATGACTACAGAATCATTGCTGCTGTCTCCCTTCGTAGTTGGCATCATGAACTAGTCACTCTTAAATAAATCCAAAATGCAGATCAGCTATCTGATGGCACTGGAAGTCTAGATTAGCAAATCCCTGAAAACTACAGCATGTAAATTCCATCTTTAAGGAACAACCAGGTAACTCAGTTAAGGTATTTCACGCTTTCTTCTACAGTACCGTACTGACTTTTGCATAAAATATAGAGCACCAAGTCCTAGGCTGATTATCTGAATTGTAGCACTATTCCCTTTCCTTCCTACAACACAACTGTCTCATTAGGAAACTGTTTGTAGTCCTCAGTAAAACTAAAGGAAACTCAAAAGTTATGATGTGGTATGTTTTCAGTCTTGTAGTGGTCATAGCTGTCATCTACTTTACATACAACAGTATATGGCTTCTCAATTTCCTGGGAAATAATTTTAGATTCCATTTAGGAATCAAATGGAGTTTAGGTTACTTTACATTTTTGCATGGGACATGTTAATAGCTTGCATATGGAAGTCTTTTTTTCAAAATGCAGCAGTAGTAATTTGGTTTTGTTCTGTATTTGAAAATAAAAAGTTTTTCCATCGGCATATTGGACACCACCAATTAGATGGAACTCCAGTCTGCATACATTCTTGACCAAAACAAGTTTCTTGTTCAGCAGAGCAAACTAGGAAAGTTAAAAAGGGACGTCTGCCTGTGCTGTTACAGCTGTGTACTTGAAACAAGCATTGAACCAGCTTTAAAAAAGTTATACCGGCATGGACCTTTGTTTAAATAAACTTTCAGTTTTGGTATTGATTTGTTTGACTAATTATACTTAACTCCCATCTCTTTTGCTTGAAGCATGTTCGTCTGTATAAAAATACAAAGTTCACTTAATGGTTTGCATTAATTCCAAAGATGTACTTATGTCTTAAATTACTTTGGCATATGCGTTACTGATTTTTAACTCTGTGATTTTCAACTGCAAATGAAATATTTACCCTCAGGTAAAGACTCACACCCAAGTTTGAGTAATATTGTTTATTAAAGCAGAAAGTACCTCAACTGAATGCAACATAAAGTTCACCTGGTATTCAAGTGCTTTACAGTGTAAAGCCTAATGAAATAGTTCAGTTAGAGCTGTACTCCATACTGCATTAAAAAAATCAGTTTAATACGAAGAACCAAACTAAAACCAGTTAGGCTGAAAAAGCTTTTTTCTTTTTGCGAGGTGGTTTCTTTATCTTATTTGGGTTTGGAACAAGTTTCTTGATTTTCAAAGGCTGTAAAACTACATTTGAAAGGTCGAGCTGATTGCTTTCTGCACGCTTTCGCTTCTGGCTTGTGAGCTCATTGCTCAGCACGTCTACAAGCTGCTCAGGTTCCTGATTTTCTGAAGTATCTGTATGTGCATAAGCCACCAATTCCTCACTTCTGTACTGAAACCATGGCACTTCCAAAGCTGGTATCTTTGGAACTATTGCTTCTATTGCTTCAGTAAATTTATCAGACTGCTTTTTAAAGCCTAGTGCTAAAATGGATGTTAGGCCAAGAAGTGGTGCAAGTGTTTCACTGAGACGGGGAACCTGGCCTGCTGGTGTGGCTCGACTTGCACTCAGCTGAATAAGGTGTGACGTGATCATGGCAGGTTTTGCAGACTTGCACACCAGCAAGAGAAGTAGTTCGTTTCTCTCCAATGCTTTTGTAACTTCGTTAACTCCAATAGCAAGCTGCCTTCTGATACTTATATCAGTCCATCCTAATTTTTGTCGATGGCCTTCTGTTTCCTCTTCTTTAGGGAGTTCATTGGTGCTAGCATCACGCTTTCTTCCCATTTGTTTTTTTGTAAGGGAACGTTTTTTCTTTCTTGGAGTCTCAATCTTTTTAAGTCCAATATGTTTAATCCTCTCTTCTAAAGTGTGTAGTATAAAATGCATGTCTTCTCCATCTATGGTTTTCCACTGAAAAACAAAGGGGTTATCTAGACATGTTTTTACAGTGATTTTCTTCGCTTTACGAAGTGTTGCCGTCCCTCGCTGAACTACAGCCATCCTGAGGTTCTTTGGTGTTTTGCCACTCTAGTTGTGAAGGGAAGAAAGAGGTAAACATTAGTTCAAATACTGTACTGCTTGCTGTGGACATCACTACCAGAAGCTTCTCTGGGGAATGCCGAAGAGAAATATCACATCCCAAAGTGATACTGGCAACTCACCCTCCTCACATTAACTCAGTGCTAATCCTTAACAAATCTTCCACAAGGCATAGGCTGTGCTGCATTTTTTTAAAAAATAAATAAAACACCCCAGCAGTCT